TCAATGACAATGAATATTGTTCTAACAATAACACGAATCGATTGACTTGAGAACCCTGAGTTCGAGCCCTGATCAAGTAACGGGTGCTCACTTCTATGGAGCCCTGTACTAAAAAAGCATCTGTCCAATAACTCCTAGTTCGTTATGATTGTCTGAGATCAATGAGTGATTTAAAAATTCACTCCATAACCCCTTATACTCTAAAATGAAACCTACTAAATAGTTAAGTCTTAATAGAAAAATAATCAGTTTATTAAAATACATAAACATAATTTTTGATTTCACAGAATGCAATGGTTAGTGTCTACGGCTGTTTTTTCTTCCAAAGAAACAGGTTATCTTTATGTCTATTTATAAAGTAATTGATGAAACTGATACCATTTACTATTAATAGTGTAATTTTTTAAGTTTGTTCTTTTCAACGTCAAAAACATGTCTATGCATAATAAACCAGTACTGTGTTCTTGTTTGTTGATTTCATGTTTATGCTTGAGCAAACTAAATGCACTGATTTCTTACTATCAAGCAGTATTTTTTTTCTTTTAATTAATGTACACAGATTGATAACCTAGACTTTTGGTAAAGTGTATAATTAAGTAGAATGATTTTTAAATAATTGCTTTAAAACTATAATAAATGACGTGTTGATGAGTTATTTCTTCTTGAATTTTGTAGATCTTTCAGTAGAAGGTTTCAAATACACTTGGGGTCAGTTGAAATGTACCTATGTGTAATCGTAACTAAGTTTATGTCTTAACACCATTGGAGCACAAGACGGAAGGTCCTGAGTTTGAGTCCCGATGATGCGGGATCTTTGGTGCGCACTTCCGAGAAGTCCCACACTAGAACGAAACAGGCGTTCAGTGCTTCCAGGTTTTCAATGGTGGTCTAATATCAATCGATTTATGATCTAAATCAAAAACTTAACTATCTACACAACCCCATAATGATAAGTATGTCTTTATGTTATAATTGCGGTTGTTCAATTCACTAATTAAGTAAAATACTTAAAATAGTTGTTGGCCTAATTAAATATATGTAGAAAAATATTTTCACCAGATTACTTAGTCAATAAAAAATAAGTAGCTACTTGTTATACAATGAAACATTTTAAAATAAGTGATTATACTCTATAAATATTGTTTCTTTTTACCAATATATATATATATATATCGATGACTTTTCGACTGTCGTCAATCATTAAGGTGAACCTCTTCCAAGTCATAAAATTATTTTAAAATGCTATCTTATTATATAATATTATTAAGTGGTGAGTATCAGTAAACGCAATAAGGATGTCTCTCATTTGAGAGGACCTGAAACATTCCTTGGTCAAAGTGTAGATAAGTGGTCAAAACTTGAAAGGAAAAGTCTATACTGAATGGATGATAATCAGGTTTAATAGTTTCGAAAGAACTCAACAAAGCTAGATGATTTACGACTGTAAGTAATCAAAAATGAGGTTTCCGACTGACCTGACAACTGAGTAGTGACCAATTTCATGTTTATTTAGTCCTTCAGCGTTAATCGAGTTCCGTTAGTTAAATGACTCGACGTTATATTGAATATGTTGAGATGTTAGGTGGTTGGATATAATCAACAGAATTGTAAATATCTGACTTTTACAGAAGATATGTGCTTCCTAGGATAACTAAGTGGTAACGTCTCAGATCATGAAGCTGAATGACACAGAATCAAATATACATGGAAGTACCAGTCATCTCAAGATAATAGATACACCTTGCTGACAAATGCCAATTAGTACAAAATCTCGCTTCAGGATATCCTGTCAACTAAATCAAACCACCGCTTCACATCTCGACATAGTGCACGTAATGTTGAATCACTTAGACTAGTGGCCATATTGTTGCTTGATTGATCATCACTAAAAAGAACTTATTATCAGTAGTTTAGAAAAATAGATCACAATTTAAGATAAACAATGAAACTGATAAGAATAAGTTTCTTTTTTGAAACAAAAATATTTTTTGTAAACATCCATTCTCATGGAAATCAATAAATAAATCTTATTCTCATTGTAACATATTTATCTTGTTTCTTGTTGTTATATTTCTTTTATTAAACAAAAGTTACTTTTTATTTTCGTGAATACATTTTGAAAACCAATTTAAATGAAAGTTTTTTATACCGACTTAAATTGTATTTCAAAGTGAATTCGACCCGACTAAAGTAACTCGTGCTAGTACAGCTGCTGAAGGTGTATGCAAATGGATATTAGCTATGGAATAGTATGATTGTGTAGCTAAAATTGTAGCACCAAAGCGTATTAAATTAGCTGAAGTTGAATTAACAGAGAATATGGCATGTGTAAAAAAGACATAAGATGCATTAGCTGAAATTGAAACTAAATTAGAAAATTTACAAAATCAACTTAAATTTACACAAAACGAGAAAAAACGCCTGGAAGATGAAGTATCAAATTGTGCAACTAAATTAGAAAGAGCTACAAAGTTGATAGGTGGCTTAGGTGGTGAGAAAGACCGTTGGCATCAGGCAGCTAAATATCTTGAAAAATTATATGATAATCCTATTGGTGATGTATTGACATCAGCTGGAATAATTGCTTATTTGGGACCATTTACATCGACTAACAGAGGCTCGCACCTGACGCAAGACCGATAGGTCCTGGGTTCGAATCTCGCGGGGAGCGGGGTCGTGGATGCGCACTGCCGAGGAGTCCCATACTAGGACGAAACGGCCGTCCAGTGCTTCCAGGTTTTCAACGGTGGTCTAACATCAACTGATACATGATCTCAATAAAAATAAGTTGTTTTTCTTCATTATGTTTACCTACGTTGTTATAGATTTAAACATATTTTACACTCCAATCATCAATAGCTCTGATTTGTTTCAAATATCAATTTATCAAGAGAAAGTTGTCCATTAACTTCCGTAAGATGATTTAGTCTACAAAGAATAGTGTTCAATTCACATTTCGAAATTCAATGTTAAGGAATAATAAATTTTGTAAACATTAAACGCATTTTATAAATGAAAAACAATTTATAGAATCAAACGTATTAGCATAAATGTTCTACATTCGCTGACCAACTGAAGCTCGTTTGAAATTCTGTATATATTACTGCATGAGTGATTTATAAATTCTGCATACTGAGTTGTTCTTCATTCTGACTATTAGGTGAGTGAGTATGAGAAACAACATACTGGACTAATAGCCACTTAGTGTTTTTCGGCTATTATCTCACATTTAGCGTAACATTAGTACTTGACAGATAGCTTAAGGGAGTTAATTAATACTTGGACTAGATCAATACATCTGCTCTCCTATCTAACAGTTCGGTCTCAAGAGCCCCATTAAACACATTCCTCGCTGCTTTTTCTAGGAATATCGACGCAATACTAAATGATAGAACAATTAACTTCAAAATGTAACAAGACGAAATTGAGTCACGTCTAACAGGTTTCAAACGTATTTTTAATCGTTGTTGTTATGTAATCAATTCAAATAACTAGCCAAATCCTAGACTTAGTTTTAGGCTTTTCAGTATATGCTTATGTAAACACTACGGGCAATTAACTGAACACCAGAATGAAACTTTAACTAGCCATATATTTATTAAACTTCTTACTTTAACAAGCTTTCATCTGATTACTTAGTTAACAATAAAACTCAAAATTACATAATTGTATCTTGTTAACCAAAATTATTCAGAATTAAAATTCTATTCAGAACAATTGAGGCATTTGTTTTAGTCGATTGTACAGTTGTGAAATGACATCACTGAGAAAACATGTATTTGAGAGTATATAACAAATAATCTGAAATATGCTAGTCCTAAATAGCCGAAACTTAATCGACTGAAAATAGTGTCGATATTCTTAAACCTCTCAAAGTAATTAACAGACAAAGAAACGCTTAGCTAAAGCAGAAGCCAATGATCTACTCGAAATGAACCTATACGTTTATAAAGAAACAGTTGTCTATTTAACACTGCTATAGTGAACTGATATTTTTCATCATACTGTCTTTAATAATTTTTGTTCTTATGTTATGTTATAAAATATTTACTAAGTTGATCATCATTTGATCCACTTGAAAATTAACTTCTCATTCAATCAGTGGTTTTCATAAATACAATCCTTAAAATTTTATCCAAACTCGTCAAATTTCCGAGAATTGCTGTGCAGTGCGCATCTTATCAACTTTCCAATCATAGATAAGTGCTGTTGTATTCCGTTTGTATTGACTTAATCTATGTTCAAACGATCTTAAATATGCATATAAATTATATTATACTGATAACCCGTATTACTTCGACCATTCAGACACTGTTGTTTGTTATTCAATGATAATATGTTACTTTTCAACGCGAATAAGATTAAAGGAAAATCGTGATAACCTACATATTATTATGCTTAAGTTGTTGTTCTTTGCTTTATTCCAATTTTATTCTAAAGATGCTTTGTAAAAATGTTTATTTTTTTAAGATTATATACATCATGAATCGACATTAAAATGTAGTTTGTAAATAAAGGATCATTGTAGATCTGTGTTTAATTGGATTTTAAACTCGTTAGTAACGTTCCACATGTGATCAGTTCAAGATCTTCTAATTTCGCCATGAAAAGCACAATACATTTAAATCCCTGAATTAGAGTTGAATGGTTAGTATTCAGACAATCATTTAATAACTCTTACAATTGTGACAAGGTTGAACTCCATTAGTCAAGAATTTTCACTAAAATTAAAGGAATCCATTTCGATGTTATTTACCAGTGAGTACAACACTATTGTTTATGAAGTAATTAATACGGTCGGAATAAACTTTTTTTTACCACGGATGGACTTATTTCAACTCAAAGTTCTAAAAATATTATGCTCATTGTGAAAAATCAAAGTCCTAATTTCGACTTCTTATTCTTGTGAGTGATCACTGCTGAGTAGTTTAAAACTTGAACGAAGAAGCTACTATCATCTCATGACGAACACCATTTTGTTTACTTTTTAAAATGGGCCCAATTCTTTCTCTACTTAAATAACGACCGCTATGATCTAAATAACTAGTTACTTCCATACGCATTCAGTGACTTGTCGACCGTTGACATCAATAAACTAGTTTTATACACCAGAAAACGTGCGACAATATTTCACATATAAACAATGCCATCGGAATACATATCCATCGATGGAAATAAACGAAAACAGAACAAGATGCAACTATCAACCTCAAAAATAGAATATTTCTTTGAGAAAAAAACACAAAATAAACTATTAAGTTAGATCATATCATTCATTTCATTAACAATAAGAAAGTGTTCGCCCTCCGCCTTACAAAAAAAGATGTGATGTAAACAGGAAAGAAAAGAAAAACAAACAAAAAATGAAAAGTGACCTTCCCATTGCTTTGATGATATTCTTCACTTCTCTCAACACAGAAGTGAAAATGTGTATAATTTTTTTTTCAAAATAAAACAGAAATCAACAACCCATAGACAACAGGAAGACACGAGAAAGTTAAAGAGTAAGCGAAAAGCGAAGACATTATACACACACACACACACACAGAGGGAGAGATAGAGAATGAAGTATCAATCATGTAAGTCAACTCAAACAGAAATTATTATCATTAATGCCGTTATTTGTCAAAGTTATGAAGGAAAATTTTAGATTTTTTCCATCAAATTGATATGAATTTTCCTTGTGTCTCTCCTTCCTTAACTGATGTTTGGATCAATTTCAACAATCGAGAAAAGGGAGGAATAAGTTCTGAATGAAGGGAAGTAAATAATACGAAATGATATATTAATTCATATGAATTAAAAGTACTGAGATCAAGTTACATTATTACATAAGTTTGATTTATAGTTAACATGTATATCAAGCACCATACTGTTTATCAACACATATTATGTACATTGGTTTAAGAGCCAATGCACATCATATGAAGCTGTTAAAACGGGCGAATATCGGGAAAGTTGTAACTTGAAGAATTATCTTGTGAAAAATTATCATTTATATTTTTAGTATGGAAAATTTGCAGTATTTCTACAGTTGGAATCATGAACTGATCTTAGCTACATTACTGTTAAAAGCCTGAAAGAAATGCGCAGGGCTTTTGTCCTAGTACGGGAACCCTCAGAAATACTCATTCACGACCACACACGCGGGAATCGAACATAGGACCTTCGGTTTTAATTGTACAATTGTTAGACATTTGGATTATTGTATCCTTATGTTATCTTTATTGTAATCTTTTTTCCGCATATAGACTATCAATATATGTTTGATATTTTTAAAGTTACTATTCACTGATTACGGACCTACCGCTTATGAGCGTACTGTAATTCCCTATTTATTTTGGTCGGTGGTCAGGTCAGGATGTAACTCTATATTACTGCACGAACTGAGTCATATAACTGGACAGCTACACAACATGGATCTTATCTAATTGCTAATCTTGTCCTTCGAATAAAAACGGGGTTAGACGTAGCTCGAGGGCCAATAGGTGTTAAGGTTTCACCCGTTGTTCATTGGTCATTGGTAAAATCAAAGGTCGCCGGCTATACAGGCGTAGAGCGAACTAATCAATAATCAGACTAGAGAATACTACTGCTCCTTTAGTAAAGGCCCGATCATACTTGCTACAATATAATTCAACAATCTGTTCTTTTTGAAGGTACAATGGAAACACAGATTTTTTCTGGCTGAAAAACAAATAATAAATGACAAGACAGATGCTGTAAGTGAGAATAGGATAGCCAGTTAATCAGTCATTGAACAACTTACGGCTCAAGTCAAATGATCACTTCATGGGCGGATGAAATTACTAAATTATGTTAAAATAGCTGATGCACTGAAAAACCTCAGTTTTTTTATATCGTAATATGTACTAATAGATATTGATTTTAAAAAGTTTACTCTTTATTAAAGTGGTCAAATATCCACTATAAACATTGCAACAAAACTTGGAATTTCGATGTAGTTGCCTAACACAAACTATGTCGCTTATGCGTCCAGGTAGATTATTTCATAAGGATAAATAGTTGCGTTACAAAATATATCTCTGATAAAACTAAATGGATAATGACACAAATTTCAATATCACTTAATTGTTGTACTCTGGTGTTGCGAAAAGAAGATATCACCTCACCTAGCTGTACACAGTCATAATATACATGAAGAAAATCCACTTAACCATCAACAATACAGTAGTATATAAATATACACTAATTTTCTATTAACTCACTCACCAGATACTTGAATGTAAGCCATATTTCAAGTGTCAAGGCTAATTATAGTATGCGGTTGCTTAAGCCCAAGTAGATGGGACAGGGTTCAAAGTTGGGAATTAGTGAAAGTTGAACACTTTGACGATTAAGCCATCACTCAACATAAATATTATCGTTTAGATATTTCCAAACAGTTTATAGAATAATAATTGACAAAAATACTAACAGAATCAATGTCACCTACAATTCTGATCTTCTTGAGGAACTTCTATTGTCACTACTGGTGGTGGATTCACTGATTCATCTACCACAATAATATCTTCTGGTCGAGGTGCTTTAGGTGGAAATTGACCATCCCAAACCGCATCAATTGTAGTATACATAGATGATCTACTAGTCTGAGATGTACTGTCATCATTGTTTGTTCCAGTCGTTGTTGATGCTAAATTTTGTGAATTGTTTGGCAAGCCTAGAATAGAAATTATTTTACGGAATAACTCTTCTGCCTAAAATAAATACAAAAACATAATATGGAAAAATGTTTAGGTTGTTTATACCGATAAGTTTAAAATAAACAAAAATATTATCAGGTCATAATATAAAAAAAAAATGAAAATCGGTCAAACTGAAAATCAGAAAGAATTCAATAATCATAACAATAATAATAATAATAAACCATCTTAAAGAAATTAAATCCTCTTTTTTAAGATCAAATAAATACACATAGTTATTTAACTGATATAGTTGCTCGATTTCGTATCAATATTTATTATATGCATTATATTATCTTTTGTTATGTAAACAACAGTACAACTATATGAAAACATAGTTGAAATTGATGTTGTCAAATTACGATTATGTGTAGAATCAAACAAAAACAAATAAACAAAAGATTGAAAGAGTTCATCAAAGGGATAATTTAAACCAACGTAAATTGAATTGAAATGTATACCCTTCGCACAAGCTAATACCTATCCGAACTTAGTAGATAAACGGATAATAGGGTTGGGTCTTTGAAGTGAGTGGTACTGAGTTCGAATGTCGGTGTGAACATTAACTCTGATATGCATGCAAATTCAGCTGATGTGTCGTAAATAGGACGAGACGTGGGTCCTGGATTTCAGTTGTTAGTCACATTTCATCTATTCTATAAAATAACCCTTGAAAAAAGTATCTAATCGAGAGTTTGTAAAGTTAACCGTTATTTGTTACAGACTGACACCGATCATCTAAAGAACCGATAAAAAAGCAGGAAACACTAGAAAGCTGTTTCATTTCAAGGAGAATACAATACCTTCAAGTCCAAACCCACTGTTTTACATTCCTGATATTAGTCGTTTCGAAATGTATTGCAACAATTATCCGACCTCACCCATCATCCATGAAACCTATTTCTCTGCCAACATGACTGAATTCCACCACTACTGTTTTCTCTACTCTTCTCTAAGTGTTCTGACTACGCTGTGATTTTCGACGTACTGAAACTTTTCTTTCCATCTGGCGACTGTGATAGTTCCAACGCCACTTTCCACTACACGTTAATTACGAGCGATGTGTTAGTAATATTCACCAAACTTGAGTACACCTGCATATAAACCATTCACCTAAATAGTACTTTATTATTCTTTGATTGTCTAGAGTGAATTTTCATTCGTCCCAGTTACCAACACTTGCATTCATTATAACAAACTTTTACTGTTCATAAAAATGTAAATTTTAATAAAAATTACAATTATAATGAAAACCATATCGTCTGATTTCTCAATCAATAAGTAGTCAGTTGGTGACATACAAATTAGATCTACTAGAAAACTAATAAATGAATGAATACCGTGTAATTACTATTGTAGTATTACGAAAGTTTTATATATATATGGAGAGAGAGAGAGAGACTATCAATAGACTGCAATAATGGTTATGCAATATGCTGCCACATGTAATAAAACATCATTTATAAAACATGAAAATATTTCATGCATGCATTTACTATCACACACACACACACACATCCAGCCTACATATTTACATACTAAAAATATGAAGTATTATCTATTGAAATGATCACAAAATTTTGGCCGAATGCTTTAAAACACAAATCGATTGAATATCAGTAAACGCTTAATAATAAACAACAAAAAATAGCGAATGTGTAGTATTCACATAAACCGTACACTATGTGTATGTGTGCATTGTACACATAATTACTGATGTAAAAGATATACAGAGAAACTAATACACAATTAATCATTAAATACAAACTGAAGTAAACATGATAGTCATTAAAATGAAGGGTTAAAGGCCAAAATTAAAGACACTGATTTCTTCCGGATGATTAGTTATTAAGGAGGTGAAGAAGAAAAAAAGAATAATATCAATGAATGATAATCTATTCACTATAAGTATTGATGCAAAATAATGAGAGAACAGATACACATAAGCATTAACAATATAAAACTACCCACCTAAGCTTTTACTTTTGGGTTGTAAGTTTTCTTTTTAAGTTAATAAATATGTATATTTATGAATATGTGTACGTACATCCTCGATTAGATTTAGCTTACACATCTTCATTGTAACTGAAGAAGCCGGCTGGGCTTGAGTTTAGGAAATTTGTTTATCAGTATTAGAATCGGACACCACACAATGCAACACCGATTTAGCTTAATGTAGCCGGCCGATAGAGTTAACGCTTAAAATAATTAAAAACAGTCTGCTAAGATTCAACCAATAAGATTGGTATGAATAGCAATGAAATCAAGAAGAAAGTTGGTTTCATTTTCCTGGACTGTAATCGTACTAAGATTGATGGTCAATATATGAAGGAAAATAAAGGTTAATGAATACATATGCACTATGACAACAGATGTTCAGTCATTTTTTTTACGAGAGATAACAATTATATTGCGAACTTCAAACTAGGAGTATGAACCTTTAAACACGGCTCAAAACAACCGTCTATGACTTCAATGAGTGTTATCTTGCCTCTGTTTGGTCACCTCTTGCATTTCGTTCATCTGGTTTATTAATGCTTGAGGTGTTTGATTGCGGGAAATGGGTACATAACACAAACACATCATCTGCTAACGGCCTGAAACATTATAAGCTGATTTAATATTTTTATCAAGCACAGTTCATCATTACTCACTTCAACGTACTCAGGTATATTCAATGTTTCGAAACACATCTGTAAATGATCACCAACAACACAGAACGGGTCTTTCACTTTATCAGGTCATGTTTCACATACTTATTCGAACAACTATCAAAGATTATATTCTTATCATTTAGTATCATTATCGTCAATGCACTTTCATTTAAACACATTAAGTACAAACAACCATAATTGTTATACTCTACTACATTTATCCCTATTTGTTGGTTATATAATTTACAAAATGTGAATAATTTCATTTAGCTATGAAAAATATCTACCTATTTCACATGATAACAGTCAAATGTGAACCTCAGGACTGACCCAAAAAAGTCATCCAGATTAATTGTGTCAGTAAATAGATAACATGAACGAATTATTACTTACAATGAACATTGAAATTAAACATGAAGTTTAACATTGAATATCATATTACTATTATAAAAATAACAATAATAATACCATACAAATATATGCAATTATTAAAAAATAATGAAATACATAAATCAGTTTCCTACACTTATTAAGCGATATATGTGTGAAATCACATGGTTTTAAACTAGGTTAATATAGAATAAAATAACCAACTTATATAATAAATTAACATTTTTCTCTGTTACCATGATAAATTTAATACGGAATCAGTTATTTGGGAAAATAAAAATGATTGGTAAGGATTCGGATTATTCCGTTATTGATTATAGCGACTGAATTTTGATTAATCTTCATTGATATATGTCAATTCTATGTGGATTACTACGATTTAATCATTTTGTCGATAGGATAATTTAAACTCTCAACGATATAGGTATCATATGTGTTGAACAAGTTAGTGAATATCCGGTTTCAGTAGCTCAGTGGATAACGCACTGCTATTTGAAACGAAGAGAAATTGGTTAGGGTCTCTAAATAAACAACAATATTGAGTCCCAGATACATCCGCCTGACGAGTCCGAAATACGCTAAAATGAATCCCACTACTAGCTACAATCTATTTACTTTAAAACATGAGACCCGTGCTCTAAATTCATTACATATAAAACAATATAGGTGTTCAACTTTGAATATTTAATCGGTTTGTTTTGCAACAAACGAACATATGACTACAACACGATTCGTTGGTTAAACATTGGATATTTTATTGATATACATCAACAGATACTAAATAAGAACTGGATATTTTCAATATAGATATTTAGTATCATTTAAGTAGTTAAACTAGGCAATACAACATTAATTACAAATTGATTAATCTCGTACAATACAGATAAAAAAATAAAATTTTATTAACAAATAACCTATGAGTTACATTATTAGCAATTGAAATCTTTGGGATTGTTAACGATTAAAAATGGTTGATGAATGAACGACCACTCAATGAACCAAAAGTTAATACCAATAAAACAATCTTTTAAAAGTTAAGAATCGTTAACATATTTGTTGACATATAATTCCCACTTAAACTTTTAAAACGTGAAGTTCAACCAAGGGATCTTTTTTTCCAAGAATTTATTATCTAGTTGTACAATCGCATATATTTATGAAAATTTTGTTAAAGTTTAGTTTCATAAGGACATATGAACAGGGAATAAAAATAAAGATGTAATAGAAAGAATAAAATACTAGATTATGTAATGTGAGTAATAACAATTAGAAAGCCTTGTAAAATCAATAAGTTAGTAATGGATTATAGTGTGAATGAAGTAAGATCATTAAAATGTTTTAGTTATAATAATCAAAGGTAATAGAGAGGTTAAATAAAATGATACCAGAAAGCAATTATAAATAAAATCATGAGGATATGAGACATAATTAAAGAGAGAGGGGGATATTTCAAATACAAAATATAATAATAATAATAATAATAATAATAAAGACAGTTTAAGACCATAGTATTGATATAGATGACACGTACGTCTTTGATACATATATACGATTGTACAGCTTGATATTAAATATTTGATGCCATGTACCATAAAACTTTTCACTGGACGAATTTTTCTTTCAAGTTTGTAAGTTTTGCAGCAATACGATGGAAAACAAACTACACCAGGAATTAGGTAGATATCACGGATAATATTAAATGATTAAGTCATGTTGCAAATCGATTTAAGTTGGTTCAGTTTTTGGGCCTACGTTCATTTTCGTGTGGAGTCATGAGTATGAGCAGCTGAGGAAAATTTAACTGAAACCAAATAGTTGTCAATATACCTTTTTGTTTTAATTGATTTCCTAGTTATTATTAGATGGTAGTGAAAAGGAACATCAAAGACATTGTTAAAAAAGTGGTCTAAACGATAATCACATGTCGTAGAGCCTGAATATCTTGGGTTTGATTGCTGATAGTGTCATGGA